AAGTCGGACGCTTAACCGACTGCGCCACCCAGGCGCCCCGTGTCGTAGGTTCTTTCTAAATCTGTTTTCTCCTCTTGAAAGAACAAAGGTGATAAAGACCTTTTTCTGACCTAACCCTTGGGGTTGTTGTAATCACGTAATGTAGGTGAAAACCATTTGTAAGTTGTAAAATGCTATACGAAGATAATGGCTTCTATTATATTTACTAATTTGTGTTTGGTTTATGAATAAAGTATAGAGAAAAACATTGGGCAGATATGTTTGTACCAAATAAGTCTAAAAACTGGTTCAGATATCTGTAAGGACAGCATCAAGTAAGCAAAAGGTGTGGGTAGGCCACACAAAAGAAAATACTCATTGAAAACCAACACAGAAAAGTTGTCACTATTGTACCTGAAGAAGAAAAGTATTTGGTTACAATTTCACAGCTATTAAATTATCTAAAAATGTATCAATCCATAAGGCTTTGGGAAAACTGGTTTATTCATACAATGTTGGAAAATGTTAATTGGTATACTCCCTATGGAAGACAGTGCATAGCAAGAGCTATTAAAGTGCCTATTTCCTTTGATTCCTATACATTTATCATGCTATTAGTAATAAGAAAAAAAAAGTTGTGTATAAGGACATTCATTGCAATGTTATTTGTGACATTAAAAATTGGGAACCATCTCCATATCCTATGATTGGGTAATGATAAACTAATATCAGAACTTAAGGTAGAGTGTGCAACTCTTGATCTTGGGGTTGTGAGTTTGTGCCCCACCTTGGGCATAGAGATTACTGAAAAATAAAATCTTAAAAAAAAAACCAAAACTAATATGGAACCATTAAAAGTAAGGATGAAAGTGATGAAGTGATGAAAAATTCTAAATTATGTTTATAAACATAAAAAGTCGCAGAGGATATAGAATAACAGAAGCATTTGTGGTAAGGAAGTGGGACTACAAATCAGTGTTTATCTTTTAAAAAATGTTTTTACTATTATGCTATTGTTTGTTTTTAGAGTGTGCAAGCAGGGGTGGGGGGCACAGGTGGGGGGAGAGAGAATCTTAAGCAGGCTCCACACTCAGCATGGAGCCCAATACATGGCTCCATCTCATGACCCTGAGATCATGACCTGAACCAAAATCAAGAGTTGGACGCTCAACCAACTGAGCCACCCACACACCCCTATGTTATGGTTTTAATAACAAAAATGTGGCGTATTATAATGAATAACTTTCCTCAAAGTTATCTTGTCTCACTGTACTTGATTCCCATAAACCCTGAAGCCAGTCTCATCATCAGTCATAACTCTGAGACCTGATGCCTCTTAGCAAACTATGGGAAATATTTGTGTTTATAGCTAAGGTCCTAAAATTTTACTTGAAGTTCTGTGGTAATTCTTACACCAGTGATAAATGTAACATGAGATTTCTGTGTAATGGATAAACACTTGGGCCACATGCAACATATTTGTCTCTGGCCAGATAAGATTTGCTAAGTCAGTGATCATGGCTTCACATGTACCTTTCTCTTACAACCTGAGGTGGCTCTCTTAGAGACCCAGAAATAGAGGAAAGCAAAAAGCCAAAAAAAAGCAAGGAAATTTGCTGGGAATATTGAAGAGTACAGAGTTTAAGGAAAGATTATAAGATGGCTAGAGGCAATTAAATAGTCTGGAACATTTTAGTTTGATTTGGAACAAATATAAAGACCCAGCATGAATTAATTTTACTGGATTGTTGCCTGAGATATTAAACCAGATTATATCTATTTCTTCCAGCTTCATAAAATTCTGGGAGATAAGGTGAACAATACTGCTGTAATTGAAAAGCAAGTACTAGAACTTTGGGACAGATTGTATCATTCTTGGTTTGTAAAGGTAAGTTATTAGATGATTTCGATTTTAAACTTATAAAGTCCTTTTATTTTACAGATTCATTGACTAGATACATATTGACTAGATAGATATTAACATTGGATGTCATTTATTGAAATTTGGAAGCTACAGGGTCTTAAACCTCAGGTCACTAAAAGTCAGCTTGAGTTGATGGTTAATCTCCATGGCAGAACCCGCCTGTCACTGTGCTGTATTGTATTCCATCCTCTGTTCATTGTTTTACTTTTTAAAAAATACTTTATTTATTTTTGAGAGAGCAAGCAAGTGGGAGAGGGGCAGAGATGGGAGACAGAGGATCCGAAGCAGGCTCTGCCCAGACAGCAACGAGCCCAATGGAGGGCTTGAACTCCCAAACTGTGAGATCATGACCTTAGCCCGAAGTCAGATGCTCACTGCGTGAGCCACCCAGGCAACCCTCATCTGTTCATTATTTTCAACAGCATCTCATCTCTGTACAGTTGAGATGTAACATAAACCACAGATATAATGTTAATTTTTTAATGGCCACAATAAAAAGCTAAAACAGGTGAAATTAATTCTAAAAATATTTCACTTACATCACTATACCCAATATATTATTGTTTCAGTATATAAGCAGTGGAAGAAAAATCTTAATGCAATATTTTATAGCCTTTTTTTTTTTTCCTATAAGTCTTGGAAATCATATGTATTTCGTACTAATACCACATCTCAGTTTTTGGACTAGCCACATTTGAAGTGCCGATAGCCACATGTACATAGTGGCTACTGTTTTAGATAGTAGAGCTTTAGACATTAAGGACTTGTCTCTTTGAGGAAGGAAAATAGATCCAGAAGTTTGGAGATGTATATTTTTAATCACCCTTACCTGCTACTTGTGCTGATACACTCTTCAGAATTTCTGGCGGAAAATAATACCATTTACCACTAAATTTAAAAACGATGGTTTTGAAAAGCAGCTGGTTGTATGGGGCCATACTGTATACTGCGTTGGCAGGGCCTGTGGACCCTCAGGGGCTGTGCTATGGAAGATGACTATCCAGTGGGGAAGGAGGTAGAGAATGAGATAAGGTGGTAAATTTTGACAGGGTTGATGGTAAGGAGAAGAGCATGTATATATCATCCTTTTAACTTGGGGTAGAAGGGAGGAAAGCTCAATTTCAAGTTTGAGTTGGTTGCATAGTGACCTGTTTTCACTCCTGGGATGAATTGAGGGAAGCCGGCTGGTTTTTGTGAGTTTCAAAGACTGGAGGTTAGAACTAATTGGGGAATCCCTAGGCAGTAATCTGCTGAAGAACTGGTCAATTGGAAAGGTTATATCTATTTTTTCTGCTGACTCTGGGACTTGTGCTTACAAACAGCTTTTTTTCTATGCCTCACCCCTTTTGAGCTTCATTGTATGGCCCAGGGAAGTCAGTGTTTTAGAAGCATAGGTTTGTAAGTAGGTAAGTATGTTGCTTTCTTTCCTAACGCCTAATGTCTTCATTGCATAATGAAGGTTGATATATCACTACGATGTTAGCAAAAGTGTCAGAACAGAAACAAAATGTTAAGAACCTACTTATGTTTCTAATTTTAACCTCACTAGTCATTTTGTTTATTCATATCTCTTTCAATTATTCCTGCATTCTTGTCAATGTATTTCTCTTCCATATGGATGAGTTAGATTTTTCTCCCCATTTTTGTTTCTTTTTCATTTATCCCCCATTTTGTTGAGATATAAATGACATGTAACATTGTTTTAGTTTTTAATGTACTTTATATTCCTCTCTCCCCCTTGCTTTCTTTATCTTGTATGGCAGGTTAATAATTAGGGGAGTGGGATGAGGAAAGAAAGAAAAAAGCAAAAATGGGGACCCCCCCAAAAGGTAGAAGGGCTCAAAAGAGGAAAAAAAGAAAGTAAATGTTGTGTTGGTGTACAATCAATATGTATTGAGAAATGAAGGTTGTTCATAAATGTATTAAAAAGGAAGTGCTTGAGCTCAGCTGACAGGTGGTATCTAGAAGGTATCTAAAGAAGAAGAAAAAATGTATTTCATATTTTAGGTCTTTAGGTAGGGTTCTTAGCTGATTTCTTAAATAATGCAAAGTTTTTCACCTTTGAGTAACTACTCAAGTGCTCAAGTGGACATAAAACAAAATAGAGTATTTATACTTCTTATGCTTTTGGAGATTTCATGTCTGAACCGTTTTATTCCATAGAATGTAACGCATTCTGGAAGGCACAAAGGACACAAGATGCATATAAATCGTCAGAATAGCTGGCTGGGAGACATCCTGGACTGGCAGGATATCGCTTCCTTTGTTCACGAGAACATTGAGACATTTCTTTCGGTAAGAAATAGAATTTTTAGTTAAAGTGGACTTAGAAATAAAAATAGAAATTCTAGTTTCCAGTTTTCTGTGCACACTTAGAGGCCTTTAGTTACCTTGTTTTTAATGCCACAACATTTGCCATTTTGAGAGTTCTAAACGCACTAGAAAGATGTCTAAAGACCATAGGCCTCAGGAGTAGCTCCCCTGGTGCCTTCTCTGTGGTTGAAGAGTAACCGAGAAATGCTGAATCAGGAAGCATATGTGAAGTGTTGTGGGCTCTCAGATTCTGAGATAGGTATCTGTCCCTTAGGCTGACTAGAATGTCGCTGGACCACTAGAGAGAGATCGGCCTTTCTGGTGGGCAAAGTCTTTGGCAGATAGAAATCTGGTTCCACTTACATTAGAGAGACTGGATGTCCTTCAAAGGCTCAGCTTGTTGTTTACCACCCATTTTCCCACCATGCACCACCCACCTCTGCCTTGTTCGCCTAACGGTTGGTCGAAGGCAGCAAGGAACAGCTTGCGGCATTGCTGAAGTTTTAACAACCACTCTTGGTTCAACAGTGTGTTTTATAAAGTGTCCTGGCATGTGGCTTTTCACAGAGATGAGAGGATTTTCTTGTGAATGGACTGGTGACTTTCATCAGTTTAACAAAAGTTGAGGTTTGCAATGCTAGATTTTTTTTTTTTTTTTTAACGATTTTAAGTAATCTCTACAACCAGTGTGGGGCTCAGACTCAACCCTGAGATCAAGAGTTGCACCCTGTACTGGTTGAGCCATCCAGGTGCCCCGCAATGCTAGATTTTTTTTTTAATTTAATTTTTATCAAACTATTAATAGATGACCATAGCAGAGAGTCAATAATAGTTTAAGATTTTCAGTAAAAAAATGACAGTGCCCTGCTTTGTGCTTCTCCACTTCAGTCTCGTTTTCTGGAAACAGCTGTCAATTCTTTTAGCTTTCTCTGGTATTTATCTCTAAATTTCCAAAATAATATTTATACTGGTCTTTCTTGGTTTTGTAATTTTAGGTATTATCTTTTGGTTTCCTAATTTGGAAGATGAAGATAAAGATGTGACTTTGAAGTCCCTCAGTGCTCTCTTCTGTCACCTGTGGGGTTTTCTTACAGCTCTTTCGGTTCCTCCCCCAATCCCTGCACTCACACTTGCCCTTCTTCCCACTCACCTAATACAGCTATCACAGTGTGGAGTTAAATCTAGAAATTCATGTCCTTCAGTTCTAAGAGTTTATGTGTTTGATAATCTGTTTTCTCTAGTCCAGTGGTTGTCAAACTCCTTGGTCTGAGGATTCCAGAGTTTTTGTTTGTTCACGTGGGTTCTCTGGATTATTATTGTATTAGCAGTTAAACCTGAGAACTTTAAAATATTTATCAGTTCACAAAAAATAACATTATATATTAACACATTTTTTGCATCTGCAAAATAACCATTTTCCAAAACAAAAAATGACTCAGTGAGAAGAGTGACTTTCTTTTACTTTTTTGCAAATCTCTTTAATGTCTGGATTCTCATACCTGCTTCTGCATTCAGTCTATTGGAATACATTGTTTTGATCGAAGTATCTGAGGAAAATCCAGCCTCATACAGATACGTAGTTGGAAAAGAGGGGAGTCTTTTAATAGCCTTTTCAGATAATTGTGGCTATTCTTTGATACTACACCAAAACTCAACAAATGGTACTTTTTAAATGTTAATTGCAGTGTGGAATTTGAAACCATATCAATATAAACTTTTTTTGTACTGCCTTACATGGAAGTCCATTGATCTGTCTTGAATAGAAATGGGTCTTTTACTCTTATATGCTTTTGTAATATGCACTGGTCATTTAGACTATTGGTTCACTGATTTTCTGTACATCCTCTAAATATCAACACATTTTCTTATAAAGTATATAAAAAAAATCACATTCTTTAACGTCACTACCTGTCTCATCAGAAAAAAAATCTTAATGCGTCGAAGTCAACCCTTGATCGGATTTTTTATTTCTGCCTATATTCTTGTAATATCCGATAGCTCTCATGGTCTGAACCTTCCTTCCTAATCCCCTTGGGTACACAGAAACGTTACTTGATTGTTGTTGGAGACTACCAGTCTACAATTAATGTCTTCAGTTAATTTCTTAAGAATTGTCACAGAGTATTTCCTATCAGGGTGACCCAGAAACTATTTAAAAACTTTTTTAATAAAAATTCCAAAATGCCAGAAGCCCCCAAAAGAATGCATGTAAAAATCACAAATAAGGGTATTGTTGGTTTGTTTCTTGGAATCAGTGGTATTATTCATCCATTCTTTGTCCCACAAGGTCAAATGGTCAGTCATGCATATTTTTGTAGGCATTGCAAGGCATTTTGAAGATATTATGTAAGGAGTTATTGTAAATGAAACCAGCCTGCAAAGGCTCTCCTGTGAAGACTGAGCTGAGGTTTGCAAGAAATGCCGGGGACAACAAAATACGCCTTTATAAATGATACATTTGAGATAGGAAAGGAATGGATAGGCCTTTCATAGAACAGATGGTGTAACTTGTACATATGACAAAAAACAGAGCTGCTGTTTTGGAAAGGGCACACCAAAATAAAACCAGACGTTAGAGTTCTGGTCCCAGCTCTAGTTCCAATTATTAGCTCCAAGGCCCTTGGGCAAGTTTTAAAACATCTCTGAGCTTCAGTTTGTCTGTCTTTAAAATGAAGTTGGTATCCTCTGCACTGCTTCTCTCACGGGACAGATATTGTCAAGAGGGAATTTAAGTTCCTGAGAAGATAGGAAATGAAAACATCTAGGTGTGCCACAGATATTGTACATCTTCTTCTAGTAGTGTTTAACGTGTATTATAGTAGCATTTAGCATATATTAGTGACCGTTTTAATAACTGATTCTAGTGAATTTACAGGTGATGGATCAAAGGAATTCAGTAGGGTCATCATCTATCTGAAGAAAGATAGTCAGCTGTAGAGCTCTGCCCTTGACCCTATCCTATTTATTGTGATTTTAGTGAAATCATCGAAGTGATACTTTTGTATTTGTAGGTGAATCTAAGTTGGAGATGGCAAGAGGGGAGGCAGCTAATAAGACAAATACTAGAATGTTCATGTCTGCACTAATGATCCTATACAGGTTGCATTCTGGCATATTCTCCTGTAGGTTTTTTTTCTACACATATCATTTTTACATAGTTAAAATCATGCTATATATAAAATTTTTGTTTCCTATGTTTTACTTTTTTTAAGTATGATTTTTTAATGTTTATTTTGGGGAGAGAGACAGAGCATGAGTGGGGGAAGGGCAGAGAGAGAGAAGGAGACACAGAATCTGAAAGCAGGCTCCAGGCTCCAAGCTATCAGCACAGAGCCCAATGTGGGGCTCAAACCCACGAACTGTGAGATCATGACCTGAGCCAAAGTTGGAAACTTAACCAACTGAGCCACCCAGATGCCCCGTTTTCAATTTATAATTATGTCATAAAATGTTTTTCTGTGTTATGATACACATATCTTTAATGGCTACCTGATATGATTTGGAGCTAGATTCACTGTGATTTTCTTAACCATTTTCCTTACTATTCAACATTCAAGTGTTTTCAGATGATAACGTATTTCCCCCCCCATAAAATACTACTCCGTTCTTGTCTTTTCACTTTCTGGTACTAACGCTCTTGTATTGAAAGCAGAGTAGATAGCTGTCGGAACTTCTTTCCTCAGGATTAGTTCTAATGGTTCAGCTTTCCCTCTTCATCAGATCTTAGAGTCTCTGTGGATTGTCATGAGCCGGAACGTGAGCCTGCTTTTCACCACCGTCACCACCCTCCTGACCATCCTCTTCTACAGCGGGACGGCCCTTCTCAATTTTGTGCTATCTCTGGTATGTACATGTAGATAAGAGCATGTTACCTCTCCTTCCTCAGTGAAGCGTTTTCTTGGTTCCATTTGTGTTTCCTTCCTGTAGTTTCCAAATGTGATTTTTTAGGAGATACTGTCCTTTGTTTTGCAGATAATTTTCCTGACCACACTATTTTATCTATTAAGTTCCAGTGATGAGTACTACAAGCCAGTGAAGTGGGTGATAAGCCTGACACCACTATCTCAGCCAGGTCCTTCTTCTAATATTATTGGCCAGTCTGTGGAAGAAGCTATCAGGTAGGGATAAGATTTATGCTATTCTTATTTCCTTTAGACACTGCTTTCTGTGAGAAGCCTGTTTTCAGTCTTGAGCCTTTCTAATCAGTGCAAAACTAGTGACGGACCCTGGTATTTTCAAAATTTTTAATTTCCTTTTGAGAGAATAATGTGAGCAGCGCAAGTTTCGATAAGAAGAAAAATTCAGTTTCGGTATCCTGCTGTCAGCCCTGTGAGCTACAGCCCCCTCACCCCGTGCAGGCTCTTGCTCCCGCCGCAGCTCATGTCGCTTGCTGGGGAGAAACCCCTCTTGTACCACGCATACACCTCCCCCTTCTCTTAGAGCTCAGGAACTGCGGCTTTGTCCCGGGAGAAGAATAAATGGTCTTTCTATTTCTTCCTCTCTCCCTCTGCAGCTGGGCTCTGTGCCCTTTGCGTGAAGTTAGCCTGGAAACTGGAAATGCAAAGATTTTGGTTATTTTTAAGTCATGGGCTGGATGTGCATCACAGGTTCTGGCCAGAAACTTCCCATGTCTTCTGGGGTCCATGTATTGCAGGCTGGGCTTTTGAATGAGATGATTCCTCAACTTTTTTTTCTTCATACGCTCTTTCCAAGTCACTGGCTTCTGCCTTCCTTTTTCCTCTTTGTCATTTCAGGTAGGGAAAGGCCTTTTGCAGCTCAAACCTAGCTCTGCTCCTTCCCTACCCTTTCCTCTTATTGCTTGGGACTTGTTAGAGTTCTACTACATTTTTACTGCGTATGAATAGCTATACCCAAATTAAATCCTCATATCATCCGTTAGAGTTTCTTTTTGTAATAAGTTGTTAGCCAGGTGTTCTTAAACTTATTTTGAATAGTGAATCATTGGTTGGCATTTATGTTTCCACTTATTTTTAAGAAATAGCATTGCTTGGGGGCACCTGGGAGGCTCAGTCAGTCGGTTAAGCATCCAACTCTTGATCTCCGCTGAGCTCATGATCTCACAGTTTGAGTTTGAGCCCTTCATCAGGCTCTGCACTGACAGTGCGGAGTCTGCTTGGGATTCCCTGTCTCCCTCACTCTCTGCCCCTCCTCTGCTCTCTTGTGTGCGCTCACTCTCTCTCTCTCTCTCTCTCTCTCTCTCTCAAGAATAAATAAAATAAAACATGAAAAAATTATTATAAAAAATAGCATTGCTTTGAACTAGTCTTCCACAGAAATCTTGATTTGACTGGATAATTCTCTTTGATCTTGGCTTATTTCTTCATTGTGTTTATTTAATAACTGGTTGAGGATACCATTTTGGTCTCTGAAAAACCTTAGTTACATTCAAATAACACACATGTTCTTGAAATATATTCTTCCTAGAAAGTTTGCTGGGTTTTCTTTCTTTTTCCTACTAGCAAGGCCTGGGTAAAGTCTTCAATATCTTGCTTCCTTTATTAGCCATCAGGTAGAATTTTAAAAATGCCCTTATCCTCTCTGGTGCTCTTGGGTATCCACATGGGGCCATCTATGTAAAGATTCCAAGTTTGGGAGTGCATCATCTACTGTAACAGTTTTCAGGGTGAAGCTATCTTCGGGGAAGTCACTTGCTGGCTTTAGCATTCCTTTTAAGCCTGCACGACCATTGGTTATCATCTTTATTGAGTAAATAAAATGCTGAAAACTCTTAGCAATAAATTCATGTTAGTTTAAGTGACATCTGTCTGGCTTAAAGAAGTTTGTGTAAATAACTCGACCAGAAAGAAAAATAACCTTCAATCTTCCCAGTAGGATGAAACTAGTGAATCAACCTTATCAAAGGCTGACAGAATCCTTTCAGTCAGTGTAACTTAAGCCAAGTCTTACAGAAAAATATCTACCTTGTCCCATTAAGAACTTCAAGAAAGCTGATACTTCATTTTCCTGAAGTAATCTTTATTAGCACTGACTGTTATTCTCACAAAAGCTTTTCTGTTTTTAAATCACAGTTCTTGAGTTTCCTCTTGTTCGGCTTTCTTAGAGTGAACCGCTGGTCAACTGTCCTCTGTCTGTCTGGCATTGAGTCACTTTTGTTTTCATACAAATATGCCAACTCCTTTGTTTTAAACTTAATATTTTAATGTCATCGTTGCTTGGAGTTGGTAAGCGGAGCTGTGACTTGCATGTCGGTCCAGCTGATTGAAAGCACATATCCTTCCGGTATACCACAGTGCCTTCTTCCAGGAGGAGCTGGTTGAGGCAGAAGATGACTTAACTTTGTGGTACTGTTAAGACTGTTTAAATAGTCACATGAGGCTGGCGGCTAAAAAATCAGGTCTTTGGCCCACAAGGGCATTTGAGGTTAGAAAGAGTGTGGTCATCTACAGAGATAAGAAATAAATGCCTTTTTACAAATTAGATTTGCCTTATTTTCTTGGGATTGTACAGACTAAGTATGCACTGTAACAGTAGCCCATGTCTTGGTTCCAAAGCATACTAGTACAAAACCCATTTATTTTATCATGTCTTTTTTTTATTTTTTTATTTTTTTTTTAACGTTTTATTTATTTTTTTTTAGAACAGAGAGAAGAGAAAAGAAGCACCGGAACAGAGAAGGCAGAAAATGAAACACAATATGGGTTTCAAACTCCAAATACAAAACTGTCCTTTACAAACCTTATTTCGAACTCACAATTCTGCGAATCGCAACCTAAAGCGAAATGAAGACGCTTAACCGGCAACTGAAGCGCCACCTGGCGCCCGCCATATTTATCATATTTTGTTTTTTAAAAAAATTTTTTTCAACGTTTATTTATTTTTGGGACAGAGAGAGACAGAGCATGAGCGGGGAGGGGCAGAGAGAGGGGCACGGGAAGCAGGCTCCAGGCTCTGAGCCATCAGCCCAGAGGGGAGCCCGGCATGAAGACAGACTCCCGCAGGACGGGAGATGACCTGGCGGCCAGTCGGACGCTTAACCGACTGCGCCACCCAGGCGCCCCTATCATGTTTTTAATATAGGAAAAAGCTTAAACCCTCAGTACCAGAACTGTAATCTTAATGGCTCTCAAAATTGAAAACTACAGTACAGACTAGTTAATTTGTCTGGCCCATTTGTGTAACCACGGCTGTATCACGTTATGTGAATTAAAGATTAGAACTCCAGACGATTTTTAGCAGTCTCCGTGCTTATTGTCTCTTTCTTTCCTGGGTCAAATGCAAGACCTGGAATGTACAGGTTTTATAGAGATGCCTCTGTAGAACCTTCTCACATATGTAAGATAATAGTAAGTTCTAGTTTTAAGAGCTCTTGTCACATTTTTCATTCTGAAGGATTGTGTTCAAGATGGAATATGTTTCTTCACGGACAAAGATTTTAAGAGGAAAAATATTAAACAAGTGTTTATGAAAATGTTATTATACGGTCCTCAGAGGGCACTTCAGTCTACAAATTATCAGTGATCTCAGATTTTATAAACATCAATCATTAGTCATCATCAGTGTTGCAGTCAAGTGGAAATCGTTCAACTCATTTTATATGATCCATCAATAAGTTAAAAGTGGACTTGAAATTGGGAGTTAACTGCATGACCAGGCAGTGGCAGTGTCTTGGCTTTTGAAGCTTTGCCTTATGAAATATGTGGCTACTTGATGATCACCGTCTCGTTGAATTGTTGAACCTCAGTTAGGATTCTCAGATCTGAATAAGTGTTCTTCTAAATTGAATACGTTTGTGTGTTCATTTGGGTTTTCGTTTCATGAATTTTTCAGTTAGTGGCATGCATCTCCTACCCCCAAACCACTTTTGTCCCTTTAGAGCATGTCGTGTCCTGAATGTTTGCATCACATCCTTCTTCCCCGATGCTCCCATTCTGCTTGCTCTGGTGGAGATATTGCACATTACTAAGTTGCATGTTGTCACGGCCTCAGTGCAATTTAGTGTGTGTGATATTTTCACATGAGTGCATGCACACGGGTATGGCTCTTGCTTGTGGGATTACAGGTTTTCAGTGCCAGTGGGTGGGAGTCTTACTTAGGAATTAGATGGGAGAATGTATGTACTGAGTTTTTTTTTAATTTGGAAAATGAATGTACTTTTCACCTCTATCCCTCCAACTATGGAGAATTAAAGGTATTGGGTAAAAAAAAAAAAAAAAAAAAAAAAAAAAAAAAAAAAAAAAAAAAATCAGTGCTGATCATTCAGTAATTCCGTATTTCCATTTTTGACTTTAAACAAATATTCGTTGCAAAGAAATTCTCATGAATCTAAGGTTATAAACATTTGTTTAAATTAAAATGTGTAAGGAAGAGTTTAAAGCTGTTAAGAGTGTATTTTCATTTATTCGAAGAGATAGCTCTCCTAACACTGGAATAGAGTGACATAATCTCTTATGCATATTTGGGAAAATCATATTAGCTGGAGTTCTTCAATAATAACCAACTCAGTAAAAAGAATGCCTTTTTAACCTACTTGATTAAAGATTGGTCTAATAATTCTAAACCTTTACATCAAGTTTCCAAGGGAATGACCTTAAGAAACTTTGTCTTGTATTTAGTTTCTCATTGTGATGCTTTAAAGAATTGCTAAATTAATTTTAATAGCCTTATAATAGAACTAGTGTTGAGATACAAATGTTTGCTATTTGCCTATATACTGTTCACTTTTTAGTTAGAGTAAGCATCCATTATCAGCAGGCACTGTCAAAGACACAAAACCATGTAGTAATGATATAAAAACATTGAATTAATATTTCTACTGCCAAGGATTCCAGATGATTTAATGTGATGCCACTGTTGTACCCTTCTGTGTGTGACTGTGACTCACTGTTTTTCCCGGTGGGGATGGAAGGTTTCCGCAGAAGCGGCTTCTCCCTGTGCTTCTCAGCAGCATGCTAGGTCTGTGCGTACAGCATGACCTTCCCTTCTGGAACAGGGAAATCCAGTGTCAACCAGGTTTCTGTGCTTTTTACTGTGTGGAGCTGGGTCTCTGGGACAGATGAACCCGGAAAGGGTGGGAGATGTAACTTCAAGAGAGGTTAGGTAGTAATGAAAAGAGCTGGGGGATACTATGTACGATTGG